ATCATGGTGGAGTTTAGGCACGTAATTCATAGCTAATAAAATAATAATGTATTTATATATTTTTAAAAAAAATAAATATATAAAAAAAAACCCTTCCCTTAATCGATCTCAAACTACGTTACTGTTATAAAGTCTGGGGTTGCGATACCGTACGAAGACCGTTTGTGTCGCCGTCAAAAGTGATTTACAAAACAAAAATCTTCGACCACCGATTTCGATCGATGTAATGCTCCGCTTGATCACCCTGAACCCGCGAATGCTGGTCCAAAACTGTAAGTGACCTATTAACTTTAAAAATATCTGTTCCGTCAATAACGTTCCACAGTCTCTCGGCCACTGCGTTTAATGAATTAGGTATCATTACGATTATTGATAATGTTTCGTTATCACGGTGAATACTCGGTAAGAAATAAAAAATAAAATAATAGTAAAGTCGACCGGCGCCATAAGAAAAGTTCCATCGCATTATGTAAAACACATACTTCGTGAAGACGAGTATTGGGGGAGATGCAATAGTTATGCGCGTTTATCGGCATTATTACAATACACATATATAGACGATCTAGCTGAGCAGAGAAAATTGTCGATGAAAACAAATTCAATGGCTCGTGTGTGTCATCCCGTTCACGGTACGTTGCTGTTAAATGTTGGCGCATTTTATGGTTCGCACAAAATCAAGATCCGAAAGCGTACAGAAAACGTAGTCACACGAAAAAATACGTACAACAGCTACGTACTGCATCGTGGGTCGTTAATCAAAAAAAAAAAAAAAAAAAAAAAAAACATTCTTTTATTTTCTTTTCATCTTTTTTCTTCTTTCTTGTCAACACGAATAAAAAATAAAAATAAAGAGTATGAAATTAATAATCCCACATTAATATAGAGTCGAGAATTTTACGAAAGTTGTTTAGACCATCGGAACGTTTTCCTCCCCCATCCCCTCGTCGATAGCCAGCACTTATCGCGTGAGGAAATAAAGTTCTTGGCAAAAAGATCCCAGAGATCACGATATCACAACCACCCATATTTTCGTCTTGATCCCTAAACGTGCGCGCTGTGTGTTTGCAAGTCTCTTGCCGGGCGGAACGCGTGACGGATGTATATACGTACGTGCGCACACGGTATTTCCGAACAACATCGGGTGCACCGCATGGGATGTTGTGCTTGCCGAGTGTACATTCTTACTGTTAAAACAATACACACCGTCGCCGGTAATCGTTTCAAGTGGCCCAGCAAAACGATTGGAGTGGACTTAGAACTCGCACACACGCACACGGTTATTTCGTTTGGATCGTAAAAATACAGCAATACGTGTCAAGTCGATCAGTACACGGGCGGCTTAAATCGAACAAATGTAATTTTATGATTGCATTATGACAATACGCACGGTTCATTGTTTACAGTGGGCGATCGGGCTGTATGAAGAATCAACGCATTCGGATCGACTGATGCGTCCGCGATCGACGTTTTACTTGATAAAATGTACTATATTATATTCATTCCGTTTGTACATGTTACATTCGTTGTATTTTTCCCCCATATAATTCCATAATTTAATTAGTTCAATCGAATATTATGAATTCAAGAAAACGATAAACACTAATAAACGTCCAGTGAATGGGACATGCTACGTGTGAAGTGAAAAACGAATAAAAACGTATAATTTGACGTGATGATATAGCAAAATACAAATTTGTTATTCATCCGGAGCTATGAAATCCTCCTGCAATGGACGAAATAAGCCACCTGGATATTTTATGAAATTGTTGGTTTTAGTTAATTAAACAATTTGCAGTAGTCGATAACGATTTTGTATCACGATGAAAATGTAACAATGAAAATGTATACATATAGTGAAGTTAATTAACATATTAATTGGATGTTCAGTTATAAAGTTAGTTGCAGAGCATGGTACTAGCTAAAATATAGAAATCAAATCATTTGTTATATCTGATGAACATTGTTAAATGTTTAAAGGCCGTGTAATTATAGTAAAAAATAAGTTTTGCTACAGAAAGTTTTATGGATTTTCCAATACGATCGCTAGTACGACAACAATTTCAAACTTAGAATAGAATGATTGATCGCCAAAGTCAATGAATTCTACGAGACGAGTTCTAGATTGCTAGAATTCTAACATCAAATTTTTCGTTTTTTTCTTTATTTTATTTGCGCTTTCAATGTCAAAACTATCTTGTCAAGAAATAGTTGTTTGGATTGGAAAAAAAAAACATAACTTCTACAACTTTGTAATATCGATACTTACAAACTTTTTCTTCCGTTGATTGTACTAAAAACTACGAAATTCTCGAAAATTCTCTATGGAGTTTGATAAATGTATATTTTCGAATTGTTAACTTATAGGTGCACGTTTTTCCGAGAAAATATAAAACATTAATCCAATCCATTTAGATTTGAATATTATCAATTGGTTGTCTTTACTAATATTTTTAATCCTTTCCTAATGCGTCTACTAACCGATGTGTTAAATTCAAGTAGATCTGAAATTTACGGACGAATATTCAACGATGTTGAATTAACCATCGGAAAATAACTGTCGATATTGACTGGTACATAAATTTAATTTCCACGTGGCGTTTTTCCCCTAACAGAAACTTTTCCGATGGTAATTCAATTATCTACACCGTAAACATTCAATCAAAATACTAAACTATGTGTTTCAATTAACTACTAATGAAGGGATGTGTTGGAATTCAATTAAGGTTTCTTGACAAAGATAGAGTTTTATAAGATAGAATTATGTGCGTGAAGTTGGCCTCCTTAGATCAAGCTAGCAACTCCAAACCTTTACAGGCATTTTGCAATTAATTTGCCATTATTTGCTTTATAGTTTTCAAATTTTGCATACCCACGGTTTTTCCGGAAAAACCTATTTTTGATTCGAGGGGCCAATTTCACGACAGCCCCCCAATTTTAAGCTAGCGACTCCAAACCTTCACAGGAATTTTGCAATTAATTTGCTATAATTTGCTATGCAGTTTTCAGAATTTATATATCTATGATTTTTCTGAAAATTAATGTATGAAATTCTTTATTCTACAAAGCCCTCCATATCCAATTTCAAGCTATATAGTTATTAGAACCTATGATCAAAAAAAGCATCCCGATATTGTTTGATTAATATTATACTGATTTCATTTTTTGGCAAATAATTTGGATTGCAATGCAGATTCAAAAAAGTTTACACAGTGGTGGTGCCACGATTTGTTATTGGAAGCGTCAAAAGGAAGTCAAGTCAAAATATTCAAAAATTATTTTTTAGCACAACCCACAAATAAAATCTATAAGCAATATGTATTATCTAGGTAGGTACTATATTTAGTTAAAAACATAACGAACGAATAGTTATTTTATTATAAATAGCAAACTGGACTTATGAGGAATTTTGGTGCATTGTGTTCAAACTACATTCCATCTTTATATTATTATATTTAATAGAAAATCATTTTTACTCAATAAACATTAAAAAAAGAAAATAAGTTGTAATCATATATCAATTACGTGAAGATTAATTTACAAATTTATTTTATTTTGCATTATAGCAAGAACTCATTTATATTACGGTATTTTAAAATTGAATACGAGTTGTGAGTTGAACTGGTGTTATGTACAATGAACATATAGTAATAATATATTAGTATATGATTATAGTAACATATATTATTCGTTGTGGCTAAAATATATTACAAAAATAAATTAATTCTGAGCACATTCTGTACAGCTAATCTCACCAAAACATACATGTAAAATGATAGCCAAGTTCAATACTATAATATATGCCCTGGTTGTTGACTTCAACGACAAAAGAAGTGAGATCTAAATGGATGCCAAGTTCAATGTTCAGTCCAGAAATTTATTTATAACAACATAACATATAATTTCATCTTATCACTTAGAATAATGTTTTGAAGCCTAAGGTCTGACTTGGCTGGTTTCCATATACGAATTATACAACTAAAACAGTCATGCAAGAGCATTATGTTCCATACCTAGTTTCTACCAGCAAGTCAAATTTTTAGAAGGATAAAAAAGAACTCACAACTTTAGAATTTGCGAAGGCTATAACATAATTCGTATATGGAAACTAGCCAAGTCAGACCTTAGGCTTCAAAACATTATTCTAAGTGATAAGAAGAAATTATATGTTATGTTGTTATAAATAAATTTCTGGACTGAACATTGAACTTGGCATCCATTTAGATCTCACTTCTTTTGTCGTTGAAGTCAACAACCAGGGCTTATATTATAGTATTGAACTTGGCTATCATTTTACATGTATGTTTTGGTGAGATATCATTACTTTTTGTTTGTAAATTATTAATTGCTACTTATTCACGATAAAATTTTTTGTTAAATTATTGTATTTTCCTACGTTTACGGGTTATAATTGTTTTTTTTGTATTATTATTTATATTTTCTTGTACTTTTGAAATGTCGGAGTGAATTGCCCATTCAGCATCTGGTTTTTTTTTTACGCGTTTTCTGTTGATACTTAATTTGGCCAAGTCGGGGCGGTATAGCGTGCGCAGGCGGTTGTACTCTACAATAGAGCTCTCTTGTGCCTTGATTTGACTTGGATCTATATTGATAAGATGTACTCCATCTAAGGTTTTAACTCTGGAGAGTCCAACGTAAGCCTGCCCTTTAGTAAAAACAGAGGAGCCTATATCGAGAAGAGCTCTGTCAAGGCTAAGGCCTTGTGATTTATGGATAGTAATAGCATATGCTAAGCAAATAGGGAATTGTTCTCTGTGTACATATACATTACTCAATATCTGAAACTTGGTCTTGACTCGTTCTAGTTCGTAAATTAAATTATGTTTAAATTGTATTGTAATTTTACGTGCTCTATTGCTGTTGTCGACGTCCCAATGTATATTTTCTATGTTTCCAATGGATCCGTTTACCAGTCCCTTACTGACATCTATGTTTCTTCGCAACATTACACGTGCACCTATTTTTATTGTGATGACATTTTCTTAGCCAGCAGTGAGCGATGAATCATCCTCGTTTTTTTTGAGAACTTCATTTTCTCGTTTTTTTAAATATCGTGGACAGTCTATTTCATCTATCGAATTTAATTTCATTTCTGGTTGCTCCATACTTGCCAACATTGCAGTATTAAATTGGTTACACATATTTTTAGTGGGAAATAAACATACTGTATCATCGGACAGCAGTCTAAAATAGGATATGATTTCTTTAAGCCGGTCGTTTTGATTTTTAGCAGTTAATTTAAGAAGTCTATTAAATAAAGTGCAACTGTCTTGATTTGTTACTACACCCATTCTAAAACGATTCAACATTTCACCGAAAAGTTGGTCGTTTTTTTGCCTCATGTTGACAGTCAATTCCTCATAACAAAATAGTGTTTTCCATAAATTTGGAGCACTAAGGGATCCTAAACATTTAAGAACATCACACGACTTCAAATTTTCGAATGGTGACAGTTGTCTCACAGGAGGCAGTTGGAGCAGATCACCAAACAACACTATATGAATCTTTCCGAACCATCCGTCGTCAACGTCACTGGTATCATATATTTCTGTTAAGCGAAGATGTATGTACATTAATGTTATATTGGAAATCATGGACACTTCATCAATTATTAAAAGTACTACATCTTTTAACCGCGGCAAATATTGTGTTCATTTTGACGATTCATTATTTTGACCGATGATGAGAATATTATCTATGTTTTGGAATATAAATAATATTTATATATATTATTATATGATTATCTAACAATTTTATTTGGTTTTTTTCTTTTTGTTTATTCTTAGTACTGATAATTTTTCCCCCGAAACGACTTCGTTTCGATCGTCGATAAAAATAATTTACCATGACGTATTCTATAAATACAGTTTATTACTATATACTATAATTCAGTTACTAACATTAATAATAGGTATTTATTATAAAATATTTTCTGTTGTATACAGAGTATAATACTATAATATATGTAAAGTTAATATAAAATTATTTTATCTTCTTTTGAGTATATTATTTTTAATTATCATAATTTTATTTACTATAATTTCTACTGATGGGTGGATAATTCATAATTGTAAGATTAATTATTTAATTATGGCGCGCGGGTCGCCAATATCGACACGACGACACATATCGACTGGACGTATTTTTGGAGCCGCGATTTAAAAATTTTCAAGTTTCTGATTTTTTCCTTTATATTAACCTAACTACCTATTTGTATGCCAAATTTGAACTTTCTAGGTCATCTGGAAGTGGGTTAGAATTTTGATCTATAGGTGAGTCAGTGATAAAAATGACGATTTTGGGACGTTAATATCTAAATAACGGTTTGAGATATGTTTATGAAATTTGGAAAACATATGTATCTAGTAAGTCTCAATATATGAGCCAAATTTGACATGTTTATGTGGAATAGTTTTTGAGTTATGAAGGGGTCAAAAGTGGCTCCAAATGGTTCGTGTAATATTACACACGGTGCTGCTCGCCAGTTCTGTTAGCTAGAACTTGGCTTGACACGCTACCGCGTGTCTAGATCACTTGGCCTTTTTGGTTTTTTGGTTTTCCCTTATATATCTAGTTGATTATTATAATACTACCCACACAGTGTTTCTAAATTTAGACATTCATTCAGTTAATATTATTTTATATTAAATGATATTTGATATTTTTCAAATTATTTTTCTTATTATCAGTTATTCAGTGGTCTGTGTTTCTACTGGTATAGTATTCAAAAGCTATTTATTTCATTTTATTATAATCAACAAAATGACAAATGACATTGGGAAATATACAACAATCTAATTAAAGAAATTCAGAAAATTTCAAATTCAGATAACTCCACATTTAATTATATATGTAAAAATCTAAAATTGTTTTTTTTAATAATTATTAGTATTTCATTCCTTAATTTTTTTTTTAATAATTATTTTAAGTTAATTTTAAATAAAAATAAGAAATATTTAAAAAACTAAATTGTTTGGGATATGTTTCTAAATAATATATGATAAAAAAAAAAAAAAAAATGTAATAAGAAAGACAGTAATATATAATCTATAATTTAATTTATTGCTTGAATATAGGATAATTTTTAAAGATTTTGTACGATTTAATTCTTAAACGAAGTTAAAAAATAAATAGGAATTCTATCATAAATAAAGTATTTCCATAGGTGATAAGTAATATTGACTTTTTTGATAAAATTAATTTTACTTCAGATTTCATAGAAAAAATATAGAAAGAAGATCTCAAAAATGATACTTAAATTAATTCTAATATTAACATTTTTTGAAAATGAGGGGGCACATAACAGGAATTATTTGAAAATTATGAGTTTGTTTTCTTCAAAACGTTTTACATTTAAAATATTTACATTACTTTCCGCAAACAGCACAATAATATTGACAATCTATCAATACATATCAAAATAATTTTGATTGTTTCAATATATTGAACACGTCTTCAATATTATTGTCAATATCAAATATTCATCAATAATGTTAATCGTGTATGGGCCGCTTTACCTTCAAAAGTGTTACATTGGACCACATTTTTTTAATGTTTCCAAAATTAAATGACTGCCTATAATCCACTATCGAAGTTTTATACTGTTGAAAATTACGTTCAACGTCAGTTGAAGTAATTTGCCCACATTTGAAGAAAATTATATCATCACCGGTTAAATAATCTGGCAAATCCTTCATTGAAATTTATTTTCCAGTTAATATTTTAAAAATGTTAAGTATTATTTTAAATCTACTTTTTTCTTTTCTCTAACCTCGATTCCCTCTACAGAGTCGTTCAATTTATTTTGGACATATTCAACAGAAGATAATGAAATATTTTGTTTCAAACTTTATAATATATACTCCTGTATAAATCCAAAATTTGAACGAATGTGTGCTAAATTATCTTCCATTCATATCATCCTTCATAATGTCAAATAAAAAATTGAAAAATACAACACAAAAATATCTAGTATGAAATCTCAACACGAATGTGTTTATTTTTTTGTTTACGAATTTTCAAATTTAATCTTCATAAATTGAAAAATACTCTCTAAAATATTGTGAAATTAAAATCTATAAATCACCAAATAATATACGTCCCGTTGATATTTTATTCGTAATGTTTCGGAACGAATTAGCAATTAAATCCAGCTCGTTTGGCAACAAACCCAATAGTCCGGAAAAAAAAAAAAAAACGATGAAAATGCAACAACTTCCGATCCCTAATCATCTTCATGAATATTAACAATACGTCCGAGGTTTATTAACTCACACGTTCCAGTACCCAACCGCCCCTTAGTTTTCAGTTGTAGAGGTTTT